ATTACAGGCTGAGCCACCGAGCCCGGTTTTTTTTTTTCTTTCTTGAGTTGGCGTCTCACTCCGTCGCCCAGACTGGAGGGCAATGGCCGCTCCCGGCCACCGCAGCCTCGACCTGCTGGGCTCCGGCGATTCTTCCGCCTCAGCCTTCCGAGTAGCCGGAATTACAGGCAGGCGCTACCACGCCCGGCTAAATTTTGATTTATTGTAGAGATGAGGTCTCACCAAGTTGCCCAGGCTGATCTTGAACCCCTGGGCTCAGGCAATCCTCGCTCCTCAGCCTCCCAAAGTGCTGGAATTATAGACGTGAGCCACTATTCCCGGCCTTATTTTCTATTTAATCTCACACTCCTTCAGGCGTGGGAATACATAAGGGTAAGTTCAGACCTTCACAAGTGTCTTCCATGTGGCAGGAGAGGTATGGTATGCCTGAACCTTCCCATCCTCTTTACTGCGACCCAATCTCTGCTGGAAGGGGTCCCCCAGAGAGGGTAAAGGAGACTGGCAGCTGGAAACTGCTCCGAAGGAGACTGGAAGGCTTGGGGAGCAGGACCAAACTTGGGCTGATGCTCCAAGCCCCCAGTACATGTTCTGTCATCCTATCGAGCTGCACTCACAAAACACAAACTGGAATATATAATTATTAAGAATTTCAAGCGGGTTCGAGACCCGCCTGGGCAGCAAGACCTCATCTCTAATAAAAAAAAATTAACCCTGGCTCCTTCACTTTTCGCCACCGTCGCAGCAGGATCTTGCTCGTGAAGGACCAGGAGGCACTCTCCGCCCTGCAACAGCTGACGTCTACGGATTCGCCACCAAGAATTGGTGGCGTGGCCTTTGGGGGAGGGGACTAAGGCGGTGACTACATACCGGCAAAGTGAGGCGCCTGCGAGCGGAGCAGTGACATCTAGTTCCTACAGGCAAAGCCTTTCTTGCCCTTTCGCTTCAGACCCACTGCCCTTGGTTACCTGCTTTCCTCCCGCCGTCCGCGTTGTTTCTCTGCTTTAGTTCAGCTTGGATTAGGGAAGTCCGGAGTCTATAATTTTGCTGGGCTATTATTCAGAAGGAAGACCCAGAGGCCAATTTGGCCCAGTTTCTGGGAGCACTCACCTGGTGATGGCCCTTTCTGTCTGTCACTATGTAGTCTCTCCGACCTCAGGAAAAGGTGGTGGTGGCCATTTTGGAACTAGGCAACTGTCACTTTGCCAATCATGGAGTCAGGAAATCACAGTCTTTTTTTTTTCTTTTAGTAGAGAAAACTAAACGGGTGGGAAATTATGTCGTCGGGAATTTCTAGAGCTATTTCAGGACTCCCAATATCCTCATTCCAGAATATAAACATATAAATGCTTGGAATACTCAGATGCAAGTTCCACCACCATCCCTTCCTAAATAATTGATGAGTATATCCTGTGGGAAGACCTGTGTCTGGTTCCAGCCCCAAAACACACCTCTTGTGTAGAACCTGTGCATAGAATATTAGCACATGAGGGTAGGACTTTGTCTTGTTTTCCCTGTACCCTTCTGGGTATAGTGAGGAATACATAATAGAATGATTATTGAAAGAATAAATGACACATTAGGACCCCCTTTAGATAGCCAGTCTTTGTATTCTACTCCCTTTCAGGCTGTGGGTTCACCTTTAGTCTCCTTCTTGCAAATATTGACCCCTTGAGGCCAATATTTTGCGTGATCAAGAACACATGGATTTGTTAACTAAGAGATTAGTGTTTTTGACTTTTGATCTCAAATTCTGGATTAAAGACTTTTTATACTGATGAGGAAGTTCAGGCAATTGCAAACTTTGAGAGGCAGGGGTGACTTGTGATAAAATAACTTTGATAGTTTTTCAGGGGCCAGGCACAAGGTGGGGCACCTGGAGTTAGTGCTTACTCTCTATTTCTCACTTTCTCCTTCCCTTGGTGTTGTTTCCCACATCCATTTCCACAGCTTCCAAGACACTCACAGGGCAGGAACCAAGTCTTTCTCCCTGTGTCATCTTCCTTCCTGCTCCAGGAAAGAGACACCTTATCTATTTCCTACTGTGGCTATCAATCTCTCTGTATTTGTCATGGAAAGTTAGTCTTCTGGACTTGCAGCACCCAGCCTTGGGGACTGCTCAAGGATCCTTCTAGTACAGAAACTGAGGTCCAGATTTTTTTTGGCGGGGGAGGTTTGAGTTGGAGTCTCACTCTGTCACCCAGGCTGGAGGGCAGTGACACGCTCCTGGCCACCACAGCCTCGACCTGCTGGGCTCCGACGATCCTTCCGCCTCAGCCTTCCAAGTAGCCGGAACTACAGGCGTGTGCTGCCACACCCGGTTCATTTTTGATTTATTGTAGAGATGCGGTCTCGCCAAGTTGCCCAGGCGGGTCTCAAACCCGTGGGCTCAGGCAATCCACTCACCTCAGCCTCCCAAAGGCACAGGATTACAGGCTGAGCCACCGAGCTCGGCTGAGGTCCATATTTTTAAAAAATTGAACACAATCAAGATGAATCAAATTTAGTTTTTCCTGGTGAATGAATTTTCTGATGGCCATTTTGACCAACCAGAGCAATTTGTTTCCCATTCACCCTTGGTTTTCAGCAGCATTCTGAATGAGTGGTGTTGCCAAGTCACTAGATAAAGAAAGCATCTATAGTTACAAGTGTATCCCAGAAAAGTCTTGTGGAGAGAAAAATAAAACTATTATTATTATTATTATTAATTTGGCTCGGAGTTTCACTGTTGCCCAGGCTGGATTGCAGTGGCATGCTCATGGCCACCGCAGCCTCGACCTGCTGTGCTTAGGTGATCCTTTCTGCCTCAGCCTTCCAAGTAGCTGAAACTGCAGGTGCATACCACCACGCCTAGCTAGTTTTTGTGATTTTATTGTAGACAGAGGTCTCACCAAGTTGCCCAGGCCGGTCTTGAACCCCAGAGCTCAGGCAATTCTCTCCCCTTGGCCTCCCAAAGTGCTGAGATGACTGATTGAGTCACCGCACCCAGCCGATGATTTTTTTTTGTTAAGTTACAAAACAAACTTGAAAAAGCATTTGCTCTTTAGTAACTCAATTTCTGAAGGGACCTGTTTACTTTTGTAACTAGTGCCATCTAATGGTCAAATTAAGTTATTGTTATGAGGTTGGACAGTGCAGGGAAGACAGGGATGATGAAAG